TAGTTGCTACCAGGTGACATAGCTACCATTGCCTAGGTACACTTATTCAAATTTCCCTTACTTCAACTGAGGTTATGTACAGTATTGATGCTTCATGTCTTGAGTTTAATTATATTTCATTTAGTCAACTGCATCTTTTTAATGTTTCAACCAAGAAATGCTTTAGGACTATTTGGAAAAGGAACATAAGTCCTGCTTGCTGTCTAAAAAACTACTATGGGCACCTTCTGGTAGATAAGGTATTCACCAACCAGCAACAAACTTGCAGAAAATGTATCAGTAGTTCAGAAGAAAATCTTCAAGTCATAGCAGTGTACTCTTTTATGAAGAAATGTTAACACTGACACTCTTGATAGCTTATTTGCTATTACTTTATTTAAGGATATTCTGTAAAAAAAAAGAGTCAACAAAAGCACTGATGGGCTGATTCAAAAGAATTGGATTCTGTATATGAGAATATTTTAGAATTCTCATCTACAAATTCCAGAGAGATACAATTCAGTCATCTGGTTTGGTGGCTCACATCTGTAATCCTAGCATTTTGGAAGGCCGAGGTGGGAAGATTGCTTGAGTCCAGGAGTTTATGACCAGCCTGGGCAACATAGCAAGACCTTGCCTCTACAAAAATAAGTATAAAAAGTTAGTTGGGCATGGTAATGTGTGCCTGTAAGCCTAGCTACTGTGGAGGCTGAGGCAGCAGGATAACTTGAGCACAGGATGTCGGGGTGCAAGTGAGCCATGATTGCACCACTGCATTCCAGCTTGGGTGACAAAGCAAGATCTTGCCTATAAATAAATAAATAAATAAATAAATAAAGTCTTAGCTAACTTAGACTTTATATATAATATAATATTCATATATATTATTTATTTGTTATATAATATTATTATTATTTTCTGAGTTGGAGTTTCATTCTGTCCCCCTGGCTGGAGTGCAGTGGCATGTTCACTGCCACCCCAGCGTCAACCTGCTGGGCTCAGGCGGTCCTTGCATTAGCCTTCCAAGTAATTACAGGCATTACAATGTGCTACCATGCCCGGCTAATTTTTTTTGATTTATTGTAGAGACGAGGTCTCGCCAAGTTGCCCAGGCTGGTCTTGAACCCACGGCTTCAGGCAATCCACTTGCCTCAGCCTCCCCAAAGTGCTGTGATGACAGGCTGAGCCACCATATATTATATTTGTATGCTTTTGAATCATATGTAAGCACTCTCTGCTTTGTCTTTCCTCTTAAACACTTGGTCTGCATTAGAGAAGAAAAGATTTCTCAGACAAAAAGAAGTTTAGGAATAAATTAAGACTGTCTATGACATTATAGAACCCTTAATTATATAACACATAAAATTTGCTTCTATTAACCATCTTCCCATAGGAACCATATTGCAATATTTAAATTTGACTTTACATTTTCAATTGTTAATAATCTGTAATCAGATGTTTCCCAAGCTTCTAAATAGAGGCAATGTTATCAAAATAGGGCATATATTTTAAACATCAATTTTGTAAATAGGAAGCATTGTGCTGAATATGGGTGGTTGTGTTTTGAAAAACAATTTCATAAAAGATTTGGGGCTCCTTGAAATTTGTCATGCCAACATTTGAACTCATCTTGGTTTTTGTTTATGATATTTATGAGGCAATATGAAATGAAAATGCCATGTCCACAGTTATAAACATAGTTTTGTCTTTTATAAGATAAAATTGCACATAATCATGAATCCTATGACTTCCTCTGCAGTCTGATATCCTTTGTGATTTTTTTTTTTGTGTTGAGGGTCTTGCTGTGTCACTTAGGCTGGAGGTCAGTGGCCCAATCACAACCTCGACCTCTTGGTTTCAGTCCATCTTTCTGCCTCAGCCTCCCAAGTAGCTGAGACTACAGGCATGTGCTACCACCCCAGGCTAATTTTTTAATTTGTTTTTTTTTTTTTTTGTAGAGACCAGGTGTTACTATGTTTCCCAGGTTAGTCTTCTGTGATTTTTTTTTTTTTTTGAGAAAACAGGTTGCATGACAAATTGGTTGTTTTTACTCTTAAAATACAAAGTTGTGATCTTTATGATAAAAGACTAATTGCTTTGAGATAATATGAGATGGTGAATTCATCTCCTAAATGCCATCCCTTGCTGAGGCTGATGTCACTTAAAACTTTCTTGTCCTTGTTCTTCTGTCCTGATCCTGGGTGTGTCTCTTTGCGGCTTAGGGCATATCCTTATAATTATGAGGGAAACTGAGGTATGTTCCACTAGAATAAATGATCTAGACCATTCCAACTGTTCATGTCCATATTTTAATGGTATGCTAGGAGGCAACAATGCATTTGAAAAAGCCCATCAGTGAGAAAGGAGTATTTTGATGTATCCAATTTTATTACTTTTCAGTACATATAGTAATATAAATATATGGCTAAAATTTATACCTAAGGATACATCTTGTATAAAGCTAATAAAATGCAACCCACAAAATGTAGGGTTTTTTGCTCAGTTTTTCTAGAATGACTGGCCATGCATTCTCATCACCAGTAGCCCTACTAGTCCAATCCAGAGAACACAATGCCCCACTTTTATTTATCTGGATTAAACATGAACAAAACCTTCTATCTATGGCTCCCTTTATCAAGAGTGAGATCATGAGGAATTTACAAAATCAATGCACAAAATTACAGTCAATGTCTCGATCATTAAAAGACAAAGGACAACCAAAATTCAGAGAAGGAAAAACACTACAACTATGTACAAAAAGACAAATCTCCAACCTTAAAGATAGAGAAACAAACACAGAAGAAGAAAAAAAAAAGAAGAAGAAAATAAGGAGATAAATTCCTCTATCAAAATAGAAAAATCTTATAAGACTAATGTACACAGGTATAAATAGAGTGAACATTCTGAATAACCACTATACAAGAGAGTAAACGACTTGCTATTTAAAATCTTGAGTAAACGCCTGTTGAAACAATGGAACAGAGAAGATAGTAAAACTTGTCCTACATAGAGAAAGAAGGCTGGGTGCAGTTGCTCATGCCTGTAATTCTAGCACTTTGGGAGGTGGAGGCGAGAGGATTGCCTGAGTCCAGAGGTTCAAAATCAGCCTGGGACAACTTGGTGAGATGTCGTGTCTAAAAACAAAAAAAACAAAAACAAAAAAAAAGTAGCCAGGCATGGTGGTACACACCTGTAGTTCCAGCTACTTGGAAGGCTGGGGCAGAAGCTTTACCTGAGCCCAGTAGTTCAAGGCTGTGGAAGCCGGGAGTATCCCACTGCACTCCAGCCTGGGCAACAGTAAGATTCTGACTCAAAAAAAAAAACAAAAAAAAAGCATTGCTTTACATAGAGAAAGGAGAATAAGTGTATCCTTTCTCAGAGCCAGGTAAAGGCATCCTGGATGTAGTGTTGCTCAGTGATGAAAAAAATCATCACGGGAAGGGGGTGGGATTGGCAATTGAGGGAAACTGCTAGGGGAGGAGGGGCATACCTCATCAACAAGGATACCTGCATAATCAATGTTTGTATACCTAACCCTGAATTGTATCCCACATCTTTATAATAAAATAAACAAATAAAAAGAAAAAACCCAATAACATCCAGTTCATGTATATATATAAGACTAACTTTTATGACCTGTAAAAAAAAATCCAGAATCTTGGATTTTAGGACAGTGACTCTCCAAACAATGTCAATCCTTTTTCATGATCATATAATTTTTAAAATAGCATATAAGTCTAAAAACTTTACTTTTCTGATGAAAATTATTTTCTAGAATGTGATTACTATTGCAACGTTAATGTCTAGGTAGGCAAGAAATAGTTGAACAAGCTCATAGTTACTAAGTAAAGATGGGATTCAAGGCTCTTGAGAGAAATTTGTGTGGTAGAGACTTTAATACTACCTTAGTAAAAAAGGGCTTCCAGTTGGTAAAATTGCTCTAGCTCACATTTTCTTTTTCTCTTTAAAATTTTTAGAGGCCAGGTACATAGTTCAAGCCTGTAATCCCAGCACTTTGGTAGACTGAGGTAAGAGCTCAGGGGTTTGAGATCAGCCTGGGCATTTCATCTCTAACAACAACAACAACAACAAAACCAGGAGTAGTAGTGTGCACCTGTAGTTCCAGCTACTTGGAAGACTGAGGGGGAAGGATTGCCTAAGTCCAGCAGGTCGAGGCTGCGGTGGCCATGAGCGTGCCACTGCACTCCAGCCTGCGTGACAGAGTGAGACTTGAACTCAAAAAAAAAAAAAAAAATTAGAGCTATGACCTACTTTAGATAGATATGATTAGAATCTGACCTTGAATAAATATTTAATACTTTTGTAAGAAGAAAGCTATAAACTTAGCATTGTTATATCAAATGCAATGAAACCTCACTATAATTATCTTATAAGACCACAAATTCATCTTTAAAAATGTGATAAATCATGCCTTCTGTGTGAAGACTGACACATTAAATATCTCTTTCTTATATAGAGTCCCCCAAACTAAGTCTTATCTTGGGTTTATGACAATATTACAAGGGGGTTGTAATATAAAGACATTGAGTTGGTTGGCTGTAGCTCACGTCTATATCTGTGTCTTTGATTAATGATTGTGAAGCAAACACTCACTTCAGGCATTTATGGATTACAACCATATACTATGATCAAGAAACCAACATATGTGCCTAGAAAGCAATCTTTCAATAGTTTTCTACAAAATTTTTTAAAAATATTGTTTGCCTAATAAAGAAACTCAAAAAAATAACGCAAGCAAGGATGTACTGTATTTAATTTTATGGGAAATCTACTGCATGAGGATATAAACAAAATATAGCGTTGCAATAATACTGTAAAATATATTGCATTATTAAAATAACTACAAAGAGTCAAACATTTTGAATGTGGGTAATTAACCTGGCATAGAATTAACACAATTTTATTCAGACTATTAACAAGAATCTGAAGAAATGATGTATTTGGTAATTTTTACCCTTGGTAAAAATAATGGTCATCCTGGTTGCTGCATCAGATCTTACCTTCCTGACTCAAACGTAAACCACGTTGAGTCCCGCCCGTATCTCCTCAGTGAGCTGAGAGGCCACATGACCAGTTTGACCTTGGCATTGTGGATATCCCAGAGATAGATATTCTCATGAGTGATCTGCATTGTGCATTCACCGTAAATATCCAGATTTGGTGTAGGCATAAGATACACATTGAATCGTTCTGCAAAGAAAGGAGAAAATTAAGTGAAGAAAAGTTGTGACTGTCTTCGGTAGAAATGCGTTAACTTGTCTATCCAGAGACTTCAGAAAGCATTACCATGTCCCTTGGTGATTTCAGTATATACTGTGGAACACCACCTCTTTTCATTTTGTGTATAAGACAAGGAATTTGCTAAGGTATTCTTTTTTTTTTTTGAGTTGGAGTCTCACTCTGTCGCCCAGACTGGAGTGCAGTGGCCGCTCCCGGCCACCGCAGCCTCGACCTGCTGGGCTCTGGCGATCCTTCCGCCTCAGCCTTCCGAGTAGCCGGAATTACAGGCGCGCTACCACGCTCGGCTAATTTTTTGATTTTATTGTAGAGATGAGGTCTCGCCTGCCCAGGCGGGTCTCGAACCCGCGGGCTCAGGCAATCCACTCACCTCAGCCTCCCAAAGGCGCGGGATTACAGGCTGAGCCACCAAGCCCGGCTTGCTAAAGTATTCTTAATCATTAATTCACTCACTCAGTCATTCTATGACTTTCCACTGCACTCATTCTCTATGATAAGAATTAAGTAGTCAAATTGTACAATAGAAAATTAAGGGCAAAATCTTATTTTTTTCTGCTGATTTCTGCTTAACGTCTGCTACTTCACATATTGTATGTGAATATTAAACATGTAATTCCTGTGAAGAATGTCTTATCTACTCTACTTAAGCAAAACCTTACTTGAATTTGCTTTTGTGACATTAAGCATTTAATGGACACTCAGATGAACTCACTAACTACTTAAGCACTGTAAAAAAAATTTAGGTTGTATCTCAAAACAAATTGTAGTCATGGTCGAACTTAGCATATGATAGTTGCAGATATTCATTATTGCCTTCTGCAGAACTTAAGAGATTGCTTTGGTAAGCAAAATAAAAATGCAAAAAATACTTCTTTCATTTCTGAATATTTTCTGGTTGAATATCTGATTATTAGGCAATGATTCCGAACCTTGCTTTGTAACTTTCGGTGTTTCTCAAAGGCTATTGCAAAATTCTGTAGCCATTGATTCCCATTTAAATGCATTACATGTACTTTGTTTTGAAAAATAAGGTTAGTTTATAAGTTCCAGGAAGTAAAGAACTTAGTATGTCCTATAACAGACCTTACAAAATATTACTAGTTCCTAGTACTATGTCCTTGGTTTATAGTAAGTGATCAACAAATATTGGTTAACTGTATGAATAAAGAACATTTATGCTATGACAGATTATGAGAAGTAAGAATTGAAGAATTACTAAAAAAAAAAGTCATGGTAAGAAAATGTTTAAGAATTACTAGCAGGTATATCTCCATGAGTTACAGTTTAATTGTGAATAGTGCTTTAAAGACAGTGTTGTTGAATTAATTATTTTGAGAGGCATAATACTGCAGCTGAAGTTGGAAGAGAATTGATATGCTTAGCAATGTGATATTATCCATCATAATTTCATAATCTTAAATACTAAATGATTGCTGGTACTGAGCTTAAATTGTATCATAGAAATAATCTTTTCTCTGTCAGGTATTTATCTAGTAAGGACTCTCTGATGCCAAAAACAAAAACAAAATTCAGATTCCAAATGGGTTAAATTAACATAAGCCGAAAGCTTAACATTTAGTAGCTATACAGACAATATTTATACTCATGTATCTGGATGTTTTTGGACAAAAGTTTATCTCATAATTCAACTTTTTACTTCGATTGACCCATTAAACTAATATGTATATCGATTTCACCTTCATCTCCTAAAGAAATGGCAAGCTGCGATCAATTCTATAGCTGAAAGGTAAAGAAAAACACACTGCCTCATTAATTATCTGTAATAAAAAGCCCAAATATATACACATTCCCTATATTTTAAAATTCTTGCATGCAACCAAGCAAAGTATCAAGATCTAGCATTAAATGTATCACTCACATTCCCACTATAATTCCCACTCCAATGGGATTAGAAGTAGTAAGTCAAAGGGGCACGATCTCATACAACAGTATAAATGAAACTTGGACCCATCGGGTTTACTCAGGAATATAGATAATGCCTGAACATCAATATTCTTTTCTTTGGTCAAGACCCTTTTGATAAAGTTCAGCTTCGACATTTGGAATTAATTATATGTCAGTGGCATCTGTTGTGCATAGGGAAAATATTTATATAAAAGTGGAAAGCAAAAGACTCCTCTATATTCTTTTGTTTTTATTAATTCCAGTCTAAGATTGTAACCAGAGAATCTTTGTCAAAATGCCAAGAAACATCAACACCCTTTCCAAAATATTGAAATAAACATAATTATTGTTGCTTAAGGCTGTGTTAAACTTTGATATTGACACTCATAGTTTGGTAGTTAAAACCCAGAATGCAAAAAAAATCTTGACATTATATGTCCTTCAAATGGACGGTAGATGAAACATTACATATAACAGAAAACCCAGAAGAATGGTTATATTTTCACTGAAATGACTGGTGCTCAGATGTTAGCAGATAAAACCTAGCACTGATGAGCATTGAAGGGGTTATGCATCACAATGGACACTGAGAAAGCTGGAAAATATTGGATTTAATAAGATCACATAATATATAAATATAGAGCCCTATATCAAGGTATCTGTATCTGCATGTAGAGATGTATATGTATGTATCATTGAGGCACATTTTAAAACAATCAGTAATTGGATAACTTGCCCTGAAGGAGTCCTTCCAGGGCTAGCTCTGGTCAACACAAAACAGGTGAAATTGTCCTGTGCTCTCCGTTCCCTTTTGCTTGCCTTAACTTCCCCTCTCCTTACAGACTTTTTAAACTTAGCAATTCATGTTATTTTTAAACTTAGCAATTCATGTTATCCCTTCATATTATTTAAAGCTCTCTAGTCTTTCTTTTGATTCTATTTCTTGAAACTTTCAAAAGGAATTATCCAAAGTAGGACTAAAGTTGACATTTTTTCTCTTATCCAAATTCCTACCCAAGAGGCTTGGTGAGTTATACCTGATAAGGACTTACCAGATGGGTTTTTATTACCCTATTACCCTATAAGCTTGTTTGTTGTTTAGTCTGACTCTGGCATAATATCACACAACAGATAAAAAAATAAGTAAAATATTTTATGTTTTATGACCCTGCAAAGTCATATTTTCAGAACTCCTAGACTCCGGGTACCCTGTCCTCTACTGATTTCCAACATTCCTTAGATAGTTGAACTTACAGATTTTGGGCACCTGTCCTCTACTGATTTCCTGTTGGGAGCCGGCCACGGAGGCCCACTGAGCGTTAGGGATCAGGATGGGCCGTTGACCCTGAGACCACTAGGATGTGTTCGGGAGCTATTGACCCCATTTCCTCCCCCTTTCTACTCAGCACTAACCAGATTAAGCTCCTGTGAGCTCAAAACATAGAAACTCTGAGATCAGGATGAACACAAGCTAACTTTAGAAGCTCATTGCTCCCATTCTTCCACAAACTGCAGTTTTGGCTTTCACACAACTTATAATTCAAACTCGTGTCACATCGAAGAGCCTTAGTATTGGTCACAGGCTTCTGGGTCATGATCTTAGGATTTATTGAAGGTGTAAATTGTAGAATACAGTATTAGAAGACAGTCATTTTGTTGAAAGAATGCGGCTGGGTTACTTGCAGGTAGTCCACTGTGAACTTTGGACTGGGCCACATTCCAAACATTCTGGGATGGGCCACTTTCATTTGTAAAGTAAATACTTAAGCTTCTATAGAATTGTTTAACTTGGCATAAATCAATCAGCTTAGGATGAAAAAGGTTTATAGAATATGTCAGTCACGGGTTAGGTTATCCTTTGTTATGGGATTTTAAGATTATCATATTAAAAGGGTTTAAAGGCAATCATTGATTAAGTTTTCATGGATTAAGGTTTCTGGTGGGTGGGGGACGCCCCTCCCACATCTGACTTTGTGTATAAAAGACCTGTTGTAATTCCCAATAAGACACACATCATTTCTGCACTAGACCGGAGTCTCTTTCTTTCTCTCTTTCTCTCTTCTTCCCCCCCAGTCACCGACGCCGTCTCCACCTTTGGGGTACCCTGAATCTGGCTGGAGCTGGTCCCCGGCAATTTCCAAAATTCTTTAGATAGCAACTACAAATTGCCAATAAAGAAATTCCAAAATCCATCAACAACCTGCAGGCTCCTGCTTGGAAATGTCCCTCATTCCTGGGTTGAACCAATGGAAATTTCACATGCATTAATTTATGGTTTTTGTAATTACAGTCTTCCTAAAGTGGATACAACCAAACTGCAATTCAACCACCCTGGATATGCTCTCAAAACTATGTCCTAGGTCTGTAGCCTCAATTTGGCTCAGAATAAACCACCTTAAAATATTTTACAGAGTTTGTCATCTTTTCATTAACGTAAGAAATATCATTTTCAATTTTCAAACATGCAAAATCTATTGTCTCCTAATGGTCAATTTCCAAGAATTTCAGATTCAATTAAAAAGTGAAAATGATTTAAGGCTGTGAGTGGTGGCTCACGCCTGTAATCCCAGCACTTTGGGAGATCAAGGCAGGATTACTTGAGCCCAGAAGTTTGAGACCAGCCCAGACAACAAAGCAAGACCTTGTCTCTACAAAACATTAAAACAATTAGCGGGGCATAGTGGTATGTGTCTCTAGTCCCAGCTACTTAGGAGAATGAGGTGGAAGGATCACCTGAGGCCAGGAGGTTGAGGCTTCAGTGAGCCATGATCATGCCACTGCACTCTAGCCTGGGTATTAGAGTGAGATTCCACCTCAAAAAACAACACACACACAAAAAGTGAGGAAGGGAGGGAGAAAAGAAAGGAGAGAGGGAGGAAGGGAGGGAAAGAGTGGTGTGAAATAATTTAAAACAGCAGAAGACTAGGCATAAAGATGAGGGTGGCCTGCCAGGTTACCTATCTATATACTTCTTTCAATTCCATCCCAACATTCCAAACCTCCACATTATTCTGTTCCCTAGAGGGGAGGTCCCCAATACACAAAGA